TGCAGTGTAAACAATTATTCTGACATGAACCCATGTAGACCCTTTTGGACAAATATATATTGTATAGATGCTCTCCATCACAGGAGGCTGGACTTGATGGTCTAGGAGGTCCTTGTCAATCCATGTTTTCTGTAGTAAAACCTGGCACTTACGTTGTCCAGGTGTAACAGATGGCACGAGACAGAAAAGAGAATCAGGTTCCAAGGCTTTAAAGCTTCCTTTATAATTACAATAAACCTAAAGTGAACTAAATCCCCTTTCCTGACTTTGTACACTTCTCACAGTACCACAAGGAGCAGACTGTTAATCACAATTACATTTAAAAGAAGAGACAATCTTTGGCAAATGCCTTACAGTGCTGGAGCTAAGAACACCCGAAGCAGGGGAACCGTCAAAACCACAGCTTGCTTGCTTGTTCCATGTCTACTTCAAATAAACTCACGTAAAGTTGATCGTGAACGTTGGCACCGTGCTTCAACAGAGTATCCGCCACTTTTGCATGCCCATATTGACAAGCTGCTAGCAGAGCAGTGCCTCCATCCTGCAAACAACAAAGAATGGGTACAGTAGGAAGAGACGTCAAATGCTATACAGAATTAGGTGCCTAAACATTTCATGGCTCTGTCACTAGAAGAATTCTTATTCTGAGGTTTCTTCAGTGAGGGATAGAAACAAAGACAACTCTGTTCTGAATTCCCCTTCCACACTTTCCCTTAGGAGAAGATTTACTTCCTTCCCTACTCCATCTTTCTACTTTCACTTTCACACATATAGCACTCAGCTTACCTACTCCTGCCCTGTCCCACTAGGTTAATGCCAGCACATCAAACCCAGTGAACTAACAGTCGCTTGCCACTGATCTCACCTTTAACAGCCACTACGTCTGCCTCAGTTTCAATTCCTCTTTTACCACAGTGCAATGTCCTGTTACATCTTGACTCCCACCTGCTAATTCCCTGCCTGAGAAGCAAAATAGGCAAGACATGCTTCCAGATGGAATGTGTTTCATAGGCGTACAAGTTCAGAGATCAAACTCAAGACTGCAAGCATAAATCCCTGCTGTTTCAGCTAAAGAATCCATTTACTTAGGTGTGAGGAATCACGCGTTGTTACAGTCCATGTCTGTAAGCCACTAGGGGGAAAAAGGACTGCATACATTAAGCAAGTTTTTGGAGCTCTCTCTTAATGGACCAACAGTATAGCTGGCAAAGAAGTTAGACGAGCTTTGGGGCACAAAGAGCCCTTCCTCAGGGCTCCAAAGTGGCTCTCCAAAGGGCACTCTGCACCAAAGGCTAGGGACAGGCATTACACACAAACTAGTTTAAGTGATGAGAAACTGGTTTAAACCTGTAACATAACAGAAGCTCAGTGCACATAAACCAGTTTCAAAACGGCTGAAACTGGTTTAAGGTAAAGCTGGTTAAATGTAGTATCAGAGACTTAACTGATTTGGGTCAAACCGTTTTTATGAAACTTCTGTCCCAGACCCCTTCCTGGTTCAAGTTATATACAGTCCCCCAGCATCGCAGCATGCTTTCCAGCCCTGGGCTGGGCTGTGCTGTCTGCTCCAGCAAAGAAGGGTTGTGGGGAGGAGGGGGAGGCAGGGACTGCCCCCCATGCGAACCCCAGGTGGGGTCTGAGGCCAGGGAAGGGGGTTAAACCCACTGCACCCACCCTGCACTCCCCCCCAGTACAGAGTTGCCCTGCTGCTGAATTTGCTGAAACCTACTACTGGATGCACCTGTGGGCTACAAAAGGAAGTGATATGCAGGGATCCTGGTTTTTTCCTATACAAAAAAAAATCCATTTTCAGTTTTTAAAAAATTAAGCCAAAATCCACATCTTTCCATGATTAAAATGAAATACCACTAATATATAGATATATACCAAAAATTGGGGATTTTTTTTTTAATCGGAGAAAACCAGGATCTCTGCTGATCATAATAGTAGATTCTTCTCTCCTACATGAAGCACCTAGTGCTACTGCTGAGGCATGACACTCATTTTGGAGGTTTTACAGAAGTTAGCTGACAGCAAAGAAGTGATGAAAATGCACAGATACAGGGTTTCTCTTAGCTCTGAGGTGGAGTGTACTCTAGTTGGCATAGACCCACTGTCCATCTCCACCCAAATTGACCCCTTCTGCCCCATCCTGTCCAACTTGTTTCTTTGTCCTATTCCCAGCCTATTATATTTACCTGTCTAGTGACAGTTTCTATTCCTCAGGTTTCTCATCCCAGTCTCCTCATGCAGCCTTAGCTGAACTAACTCATTGTGGCTATCAGTAACCACTCTCTAAATTTACACACACTCTCCTAATCTCCCTTGCTTCTCCAATGCCTCACAAAGCAAACAAGCTTTAACAGTGAGAAATTGCTACTCTAATATTCTAAGAATATTAATTGGTATTACTGTAGTAACAATGGTATAATACTGGTCAGTGAAGACAGTTTACTATATCACTGTAGGGAGTCATATGACTTTTCTTTATCAATATATTGATCTAATTTAATAGAGGACTACTGGAAATAACAGGCAGGAGGGTAATACAATGAATCCCATCATAACACACACGAAAGATAATGGAGAGACACATTAGCTTCAAGGATGATAGCTTCTCCAACACCTCGTAAGCCTTATTTTGCCAGTGTTGAAAGTTAACAGAGTAAGGCCCCCCTGGCAGGTGTTACTCTTATTGCACAATGAACCTATTACTCCCACAATAAATTGTAACTTGCCACACATTCAAGCAATTTATTGCATGATAAAATTGGCAAACCAGCCTCAAAAATGTAACTCCTTATATATAGAACATCTTAGTGGCAGGCTTGTATTGTGCTTTAATTTGGCATGCTACACACAGATTGATAGGGCTTGGCTGGGTCCTCTGGCATCCCAGAGTAAACAGCTTCCTGCCCCTGTCTCCCCTTTTGGTAAACTGAGGCTGTGGTCATCCCAATTTTCTGCAAAGGGAGTCTTCCTGGCCAGAGCCAAAATGCTCCAGTTTTGTGCAAGGAGCAGAGGACATTCCCTTTGAGCTGAAGCTGTCTTGGGCATTCCCACGATAGGTCAAACAGCACTGGTTCTGCCCCCCACCCTTTGTATAGTCCTGGTCACTCTGGTTCTGTGCAAGAGACAGGGGAGCAAAGGTCATAGACCACAGATCAGATGACTGGAGGAACAAGTCCTATTCCCCATTATACAGGCATTCACTCCACAGCAAAAGGGGGAGAAGGGGCAACCTGGATCCACCCCTAACAGCAGCTCTCCAGCTACTCCTGGCAAGTATCAGCAGGGCAAGCTCCTGTGCTACTTTCGTCCCTGCAGACAGCCAGGTACATTTTCATCACATGACAAAATTCCTCAGTACCTGTTGCATGATGGGAATAACATCTGCCAGGGGCCTAAGTGGCTATAAATGTTTAAGAAGTGACTTTTTCTTTGAGAAGGAAGATCAAAAGCAGCTTTTAAAGGCTGTCTCCCTGAAGGAGATGGGGGAGAAATGATTTGTGACTTAATGGAACAGGCATGTCACTGAAGCCCTACAAGTGCTGGGAAGAAAGAGGCAGTCTATAGAACAGCTTCTATAAGCAGCTCAAATTTACCAGGATCTCTATGTGGAAGACAAGCTCCTAGTAAGCCAGATGTGCACAATCTGCTTATTGTTTTAAGACCCGTGTTCTGGGTTCTCAATAAATACTACTTTATTTTAAGAATGCTGCTCGATTGCTGGATACTATTGGCATGGCTCCTGGAGGGAACCCAGCTTCAGGGACTGAACCAAAGACACATCCACTGAGGTAATCACACCTTCAGACTTCGGCCCAATTTTGAATCTGAGAATGGGATTGCTCTGCAATTTCACCCTGAAAGATGAGATGGCTCAAGGCCTGTGCCTCTCCTGGGGTGTGCTCCACAGAGCAAAAAGGTTCAGAGCTAAGTTTACTTTTTTCAGCCTATTTCCCAAAAAATAAATCCAGTTTCAGAAAAAGTTGAAACTTTTCAGTTTTGGGCTGAAATTGATGAACAGTCTCAGGAAAAAAAAAGAATATTTGATAAATGTCAAAATATTTCATAGTCCACAAGGGAACTTAGGTAAATAAAGAAGGCACTTCCCCCCCTTTTACATATTATAACCGAGTGATTTTAGGCACTTACCTGGAATATACAAGACCAGATTCAATGAAACTTTCTGACAGACTTGGAGCAGGTATTTGAACCCTAGCTCCCATTCCCAGAGGATGCCCTTACAGCTGAGCAATAGGAAAAGTCTTTAATTCTCACCTATTGAAAAAGTGTCCCCCTTGGTATTAACACTTAAAAAAGCACTGGGACAAAAAGAGTGCAAGCAACTCTTCAGCCCAGTGATTTGACAGCTCACTTGATAGGTAGGAGACCTAGGTTCTAATCCTTGTTCCAAAGTTTTATGCAAATATATATTGTATGCATATTTTGTATATTTCTGTATTGACATATATTCATTTTATACACACACACATATATGTTGATCTCCTCAACACACACACACACACCCATTATATTTTATGCAAAGCAGAACAGCTTCAGCAGAAATGGTTGACAAGTTATTTGTACAGCTCTAGTCGGGGTAGTTAAATCCAGTAAGTGTGACAAACCACTCTCAGCTTTGTTGGATCAAAATGGGGAGCTGAGTCCAGGATCCTTTACTGAAAAACACCATGTTGTAAGCCCCATTATGCAGAAGGACTGCCAAACCACTGAAACATATATTGCCCATTAAAAGAAGACACAACCCAAAATCAATCAACCTTTGGTCCCTCCCTTCTCCTGTCCTCATTCATCTTCCTTCCTCCTTTTTGCTCCTTTTTACCTTCTACCTTGCTATCTCTCCTCTTCAACTTGACCCCCTTCCTTGCATGACAGCAAAGTGTGACTATTGCTGACCTGTAGGGAGAGCAGGGTGCTGAAATGAAGAAAGGAGGGCAGGAAATAAGACAGACAGGGTTTTAGAGCCTGTTTCCCTTTCAGCCATTTAACATCATCTTTTATTTGCTTTTGTGTGTTTTCTTCTCCCCTTTCATGTACATTTTGGAATACTGACTTTTGCTGAAAGGAGTGAAGAGCTGAGGCAGCATCTTTTTTTACTGGCAAACAGCTTGGAAAGTCTGAGTACAGCAGCAATTCAGAGCAAAGGGATATGTATAATCACGGCACAGCTATTAAGAAATAACTATTCTGCAAGTACAGACATCAGACGCTTACAACCAGAAGGCACCAGAGATTGTGTAACTGAAAGGAAACTGTATAGCCAGGCATTATTAACTGTCCTGCATCTGTGCACACTGCTTGCCTGAGACAATTTCATTTCAGTATGAACTCCCAGTTCTTGTAATCCCTTACTTTCAATATTCCACCAGATTCCACCACCTACAGAACTCAGATAACACTGGATGATACAGAGCCAGCCCTCCCGGGCAGCCTCCTACAGGTTTTCTCTTCTCCTCCTATCTCAAACAGTGCCCCTGTAAACATTCAGGATAACAGCACCTGACACAATCGTGT